GAATACATGACATGATCGACATTCTACTACTTGGTTTTGTAAGTTTGATGGGCAAGACAGTTCAAGGTCTTCCAATGTCTTTTTCTGCTCACATACTTTCTATTTGAATCGTCGGATTGTGGCTGCCTGAGGAACCTGGAGCAATGCATGTTTCCTCTTGCAGGCTTCGCCTAATATTCCCGTAGTATAAGTTTCATCATTCGAGGAATTCGTCGCTGATACATTCATCAATTGTTCCTTGTCACCGCAATAGGAGTATTCTGAAATCTTTCATGTGATTTATACTTTCGTACTGTTGAGGCTGTAGCCAACGGAGAAGAGACTGTGAAATGATAGCAGCAACATTGGTCTTAGTGTGAACAGTGTTTGTAAAATTCACAAAAGATTCAGTGGAAAGCACCGAATTATAGTTTCCTCTTGTCCAAGGTCTCTATATACATTAGTAAGTGACAGTAGATGGTGCAACACACAGCTGTCTGGCTTAAAGCGCGAACCAATCCCTTATCAAATCTCTTACTCGTTTCATCCACGTAATGACGTCATCTCATCATGTTATATTTACCGTTCCTGCTTCCCTCTTCCTCAGGGGGGGGGGAATGAAATTGGATTCCAAACTGTGGAATTATTACAGGGATTCGGATGCAGTGGGATATTTCTGAATGAAGCGGAGATATCATAAGTTTTGACAAATAACTTATGGAAATAATTTATGCATTATAAACATTAACTCCTGCAATTACTTGTGGTTGGAAGAACACATAGAAAACGATGACTCCCACAATCGCTAAAACCAATACGATCGATGAAAACACTATCAGCCCCTTCAGATTCATTCGAGGCAAGAGCATAGCCGTCACAATTATTGGAATTTCCACTACAAGTATACAGGCCAGAGATATGAGTCCAGCTTTCAGTCCAACAGGTGACAAAAGAGCAGCCAATCCCATCGACCACAGTGCGATCTATGACAGAAGGGAAAGCGAAATGAGAACATGTAATCACACTAGATAGACGCACACATTTACAATGACTACAGAAATACATTAAATTTTCAACGCTGTGTAGATAAACAGATAAGCCACATTCTCATCACTCACAATCAATCATAAATAAACAAATTATTCGAAGTTACTGTCATCCTGTGAACTATGGATCATCCTATACATGTCGACAAGAGTTACCTCTGCAAACTGCAGTTAGCTGCATGAGCCGACTAATTACCGCCTGACAACTGGAATGACTAGGCCTACAACAGTTGAAAATATTATGACCTCATCATCCATCGTTGGGGATGATGACGAGGAATTCTAATGATGTTCTTTCTTCTCAAATAGAATCATAATCTGCATGTCGGAGCTGGCATTCCATGTTCTTCTCTTGGATGGAACACATCAAAGGCAGAGTCACTAGAGATGTCCAAATTGTGTCTGTCAACATGTAGGTATCACTTCAGTTCAGAAACAGCTTCATATGATTTCTCACGAATGTGTTTTGGATGTTCTTTCATTCAACTGTTTGAATGAAGTGGACTGTGGATTGTCTAATCACGGGTAATGTAGATTCAACTTCTCGAGAACTTCAGTTTATTCATTCACTTAGGGTCTCCGTCAATATACACTTCCTGCTAATGCAACAGGTGGATTTAGTTTCCACATTTACGAGTTTATAAGAGACAACTTGTCTTAGATTTCGGGTTATTTCTCATGCGCAAGTAGTAAAACCACGCAGTCATTGTTACATCGCCAATAAGTGAAACAATGGAAGTGACGTGTGATATGAATCACAGAGATGATCACTTTGACGAGGTAGTAGTGGGTGTAGACGCTTTCAAATTAAACCACAAATGACATCCATTCAGTCAAAAACAGTTTAGCGTAAATCCTCACAATTTTTTGCAGGGTTTGAAAAATGACACTTACTACAAATGAAAGCATGACATAGACACCAATTGGTTGTGATCGAATTTTCGACACGAATACGAAGAGAAGTAACACAAGGAGACCGACTCCTCTGAAATGAATTCACAAACATCAACAATTCGTCACAGATATTACATAGTTAATCGGAATTGTGCGTTATTTGATTAGTGCACACTAGTTCATAATAATCGAATATTCATGAGTTGCATTTACAACAGAAATGGTTTTCAGTGTGACGATCTCTGTATGTGGATGCCATTCTTCAGTTTTGACGTCAACTTTCCATTTGTCACAGGCTTCATTCGCTTCATTGTGCTTCATGAAATCACTCGTTCGTTTTCACTGTAAGCGGAAAACTCTGATTTGATAATGTATGGAACCTCACCGTTTTCGGAGCAACGGAAAACATAAATGCTACGGTGCCTGGCTTAATCTCTCTGCTGAATCGACAAATGAGTGAAAACAACTCGTCGCATGTGGTTCACAAACGACATGAGAAAATGAAAGCAATTCAGAGACTGCTGGGTTTGAAAATTTTCTTTTTCTCATGATCCCTGGAAATGAGGATAATTTAACTTAATGATAGACAAAGCGATTTTAGTTAAGGTTGTTGTCGAATCGAAAATATTTTATGATTGGTAGAAGGAAAGTTTTTGTAATACAAACTGTGATCAATATTCGACTGGATATTAGTCGCCGAAAACACAACAGAACACGGTGAGAAAATATTCACGGAAAACCGTAGCACTGAACTGTGAGAAATAGACGACCAGACAGAGTGAACAGCCAGTTTGCAAAGAATGAAAAGCTGAAACAATCAAAATATCTCAGTTCATAAACGAGGAAATCGAACTGTCATTGCAGAAATAACCTGTACCAAAATGTTTCCATCAGTAGGGATTATATGAATTCCAAAATATTTACAAACCCGATCATCCATAACGTCTATATTTATAACCTACTAACACTCTCATACACAACCTCTCAACAAACACTCCTTGAATACCGAAACCATATGAAATGCAAGCCGTATATTGAGTACAGAATAGTATGAATCTGAGAGCAGAACTGCGTCAGTTTATGTTGAATGAGATGAAATATTTCAAAGTCTTATTCATTCACCATTTTCAGTTAGCGGACTTTGCAGTCGATGTCTTTCAGGCACAGGAGAAATTATGAATTCATAATAAGTGTGTTCAGATCAAACAGCGTTCAAATATAGAGGAATTTTCCCACGTGAAACAGATGGTATTGTTATGGAACAACCAGTATCTCCCTCACTGACCAATCTGTGCATCCACTCATTGGAAACAGCTGCAACTGCGTGAGACTATGATCACTCGATATACGTAGATAACACCTTTGGAAATCATTTAATGTAGAGTCCTAAATGAAAATCTTCACCTGATAAACAACATCCCAAACAGTGTTAAGCTTCGGAAATATGTTGAGCCATATTCACACGTAACTCTGATGTTGCTTAACTGGTTTGTCGGACGACAACCAGATGATAGACGAAAACTTAATATCATCAGAAAGCTTCGCATTAGGACAGATGGCCTTATTATCATTGTCATTATTATACCGTGAATCTCTTTATCATCAAAGTGATTGAAGTTAAGACACGAATTCACTTGGCTGCACATCTATTACCTGGAGTCGAAGTAAGCCACAGAAGGTTGAAATGGGTTGTAAACTGACTTAGGTTGATCCACTGTCCAGTCGTAAGTAGACCGATGGATGAGTAAAGTGTAAACTAACAACTCAGGCCTCCTCCATGGTTGTTTATATATAAACTTGGTCCTGTGTGACTAGTTCTACTGACCGTCAAATAAAATACAAAACTTCCCAGTGCATCTCTGAACATAATCAGACGTGGTTATCAAGATGAGACAACGATTCACTAAGATCAAAGCAAATGATTAAATATGTAGACACTGAGAAGACATTTATTGAGTACACAATATCTGGAAATCGTTTCACAGAACACTAGTAACGCAGAAGTCTTCAGTAGTCATGGACATCACAATAATCAATATCATGTGTCAAGAATCCAACTGAAGTTTCGTCATGAATATTATTCATATGGTGACATGATGCAAACCATTTTTCAAGATTTTATTCGATAATTTCGCTAAAACTTCTGATCAGATGATATCTCAAATTAAGAAAAAGTCATATATAGAAATAATATTGGACAAATAATTCCAATATGTCTGAAAACAGATTGGAAATACTGGAAAGTACAACATCTAAACTATAAATAATAGGGTGCATCTGGACCCTAATATCGCTGACAAAATCAGTACAAGCAGTTCCATGATTGGGCTGTTTTCGAAGAAATTCACTTTCTTAAGCTGCACAATAGAATTCAGCAAGGTTCTGAACAGTGACAAAGGGAAGAATCACAACACACATCCACAGTTGCTATTAGTATTCAATGCAAATGAGAAGTCGAATATGGGAGATAGAATTACGCAAAAGTAATAAGTCTGTATTTCAGACAATATGAGAAAACAGAGTGCAGAAATTTTCGGCCTTCCGAAATATTTTATCTTCCTACCGGATTTGCATATTAAGTGATAATCTGAAGTATGTCGTGTGATATAGCGTTGTTCCATATGAAGAGAGAACCAACTGTTTACAGTTCTTTTCTTTCATTTTCTCGAAGAACTGAGCAGCCTTCCGTTGAAAACTAACTCAATATGTGGGCGAGTACATGTAGTGATCATCTGATACAATTGCATGCTCATAGCAATCAGAAATGCTGTAGAAATTCGGCATTTCAGGAGAAGGAAACTCTGGTAGACCATCGATTAGAGTAGGCCAGCATTATGAAAAGGTGGGATGTATAAATTTAACAGGTGGTTTTAATCAGGATGCACATAGATAAACGAAGAGAATTTCATGTTAACTAGGAGTTCTAGAGGAGAGGTGAGTCAGAAACGGTCAGGCGAATGAAGTAATCAAACATATTTGACTGAAAACAATAGGATTCGCGTTGAAGGATGCATATATCTGGCTCCACAAGAACAGGTGAACTGACGTGTGCACATAGAAGTGTCCAGATATGATATCTCGTCCATTAGGCTCCTCCACACCAGTCGACAACTGACGAACAGCACGCTTATCGTTTCTGTGAATAAAGTTCTCGTCTTTGAAACCGAAATTCCTCTCCTAAGAACATCAACAAGTAGGTTGTCGTTAAAGTCAAAATTCATCCAAACCTTCGTATTTTGCACGGATTAAGTGTTTAGCCTTTGAACTTTTGGCTTGACCTTCTCGACAATAAACCTCGGTGTATGTCCGTTTTGAAAGATTTCTTGCTGAAAGCTCTAATTCTTCTTCCAGAGCATTTGAGCTGGAGATGTGTGTGACGCGAGTGGCTGGAGAAATATTTAGGTTCGATTCACGTTCATTTGATATTCAGCTGGAGAAACTTATCAGTTGGCTGTGCACTGTTGCTCTCTTATTTATCTATCTTCCTTAAGACCCGTAGGCTCTTCGTGTAAATTCAACCTCATGAAAAGGCATTGAAGATTCATCTACTGAATCAGTGAGCCCTGTCGGTGGATTACAGCTGTTGAACATGTGTGACACTAGTAATTGTGATCATGACTATCATCAGGGTTAATGAAAATGTCATCCACATATCTAGGACACAATTGAAACCTATCAATATTTAACTTACGTGGACCATTCCTGTGACTTGTCATGAAACAGGCTGCTAGCAACGAACCCATGTGAGATCTCATTGAAATCCCATATTTCTGTATGTAGAAGATGTCGTTGTTCGTGAATGGAACATAGTATTTCCTTTGTTTCCATGTGCATGCATATCAAAACTCACATAGTAAGCTTCCTATCTCACTACGTATTTCTATTGATCTTATACAACTTTTTATATGCACTCATTAATTTAACCAGCCATTCTTCTCACGATTCTTCCCTCTGTCAACGTTCAGTTTGGTTGTTCCATGTGGGTTTCCCACCGATGGATCCTCCCTTATGGGATTGTGCAAGTGAAGAAAATGAATTCGTCAGGAGAAGAGACTCTTCACTGAACTGCTTGTACTGATTTTGTCAGCGATATTAAGGCCTAGATGCACCTTATTATTCATAGTTAAGTTGTTGTATTTTACACTATTTCCAATCTGTCGAGTGAGAGGTTGGAATTATTTGTCAATTATTATTTCTTCAAATATGACTTTCTTTGAGATATCATCTGATCAGAAGTTTTTGCGAAATTATCGAATAAAATCTTGACAAATGGTTTGCATCATGTCACCATATGAATAATATTCATGACGAAACTTCAGTAGCATTCTTGACATATTATATTGATTATTGTGATGTCCACCAATCTTCTCTGTAATACATTTTTAGCGATCGTGTTTCTACAAATGCTCTACTCTTCAAAATGCATTCCAGTAATTATTGTATGAACCAATTGTTTTATATCTATCCTTGGAGGTTAATTAAACACTTTAGTGGAATTCAACCTAATTAGCGAAATGTGTAATCGATGATCTGAATACAGGTGAAGAACAGACTCTCTCAAAACTTAAGGCCTTAATATAAATTAAGACTCCCCTTTTCCTGACAATTCAGTTAATACTAATTTAGTTATCGAGTGTGCTGTGAAGTGGATTACTGCTCTGTATCACAAATAAATTCCACTTGTCAAGGTGTGATGAATTCAATTGAACACTCGATAAATAATGTTGAACAGAGAACTTACAAAATGGTAAACTTTCTCCAGGTATCCTCTTTGAAGTATTTCCATAGCCCATCCCTACAACCAAGAGAATATTTCATCGGAAAATTTTATCTGTTCTTACACGAAAGTAATCAAGAGAAAAACAACAGCTGTCTCCATTATCATAAGAAGTGTATCTATTAGGATCTAAGAATAAAATTGCTCACATATTAATTCACTTTCATCTTACCCAAATGTTGTCAGGGAAAGGAATTCGCTGTAGACTCCCGTAGTTATACTTGGAATTCTCAAACGATTCATAAAGACGTGACATTTTCCAATGGGCTGCAAATTTACGAAGAAAATGATAGACGACAACGGCGCAGAAGTAACTTAATCACCTCAGAATATACATGATAAAAATGGACACTTAGATTACACTTTCCGAATATGCCAACGGAGAATATGGTGTGGATATGACTGTCAGATTATTTGAACATAATTCAGGTTCCGTAATGCTTGAGAAATGCACCAGTTTGCGAATGTTGATGAGTCGGAGTCAGTGATCGTATGGAAGAGTGTGCTCTACGAAATTGAGTGGGTTGGAGAAAATCTCATTTGTCTTTCTCATACACGATATCAACTTTGAGGAAACAGCCTAGTGAAGTTTCTCTTCTGCATCATCAGAGAAAATCTGGTCTCTTTTTGGCGCATGTACAGAGTCAATATATGCATACAAGTATCAGACGATGACACCTTGCTACAAGACTGGGGAGGATAAATGAGAACATCAGTTTGCTCTATCACACCTCACAGAATTCTGAGTTTATTAGACATCTAGTCATCACACACTAACACATTCCACATTGATTAGATCCATAAAACCCAATAAAATGTGATTGAGCGTACTTCCTATATTCATACTCAAGTGAAATATCTCGAACATGATCAAAGTCAGACTAAAATCGTATTCTTGCTATTCATATTTGAGCAAACTTAGTAATAAAGCAAATTGGCAGCAAATGAGAGATGAGATATAACTGAAATTCACTTACTTGTTGTACCTCCGAGCTTCGAAATTTCGTGCGTTCGAGAATATTCTCACGTATTTCCTCATTTCTATATATACATGTATATATTTCGATTTCTGTAATGATTTCTGACATATTTTTACATAAGGAAGGATCATAGTCCATTCTCACTCTACATGTGATTCCACTTCACACAAAATAATAATAATTTACTTTATTCCAAAACTTATAAACAGAATGAAATTCTCAGTATTTGTCACAATATTGCATCTGATTTACTCAAAATGTATATAAAATTAAAAATTAAAACAAAATTATTCGGAGGAATTTGTCCACATTTACGACATAATTATTAGATATAATAATAATAATAAATAATAATAACAGTGAGTTTGTTTCAAACGGTATTGTCTTGACTTTGTTCACATAATCGTCTTATTGTGCATGTTGTTCTCATGTGGTTGTTTGTATGCACGTATGTATGTAACACATTGTAACAGTAAGCACATTTAGTTATCTGCGAATTCAGTCAGGTAGCATATACTAATTACTTCATTTGAGAAGGCTATTGACCGAAGAACGATGCTTATGTCGAATGGAAGAAGCAATTTGTGTCAAAATAATGGAGTTGATTCCTGGTTCATTTAGAGGGTTCTCCACGTATTTGTCTTCTTTGAGCTTGCTCATTTCATTGCTAAGCCGTCATCATATTTACAGAAAACAGTGTCTTATTTTGTCTGGCTTTATTGATTAAAATGAATAATAGAGTGACAACAACCGTAGTTATTCTCGAATTTCTCAAACACTCAAATGGCTCACATCGATTTATAGTAATTTTTCATTCCGAACACGTAGTATGGGTTAACAGTGTATCTGGTTTATTGAATGATCCCAACAAAACTATGAAAACAACTTTGAATCGAATTCCTCTATCTCACGGACTTGTCATAATCTGAGTACTTCGTGATAAAATTGGAAAGGGAAAGCTTGAAGCTAAGCAGAGATATCGTTTGGGTGATTTCATTTTCAGAAGTGGGACAATTGCACTTTCATGGATGAATCGGAATAGCCACTAGTAGCATTATTTAGTTTGAAAGAGTGACCGAGAGGGATAGAGAAAATGAGTAAGGAGGTTAATACTTCTTGACTTGAAATTTAAGTTACCTCTTCACAAGTATTTCTAAACCTATCCTGTTCAATTTGTGTTTGATGAAATGTAGGTCACATATTTCATATGTACTTTCCTAGTCTTTCATTTTTCCGGTCCGACGCAATGTTTTAGCTGGAAATGCAAAACATCTGAAAGGCATTTGCACATTGTGGGAGAGATAAACGAATTATAATCATATTTCAATTGTTGTTTATACTCAGTGATAAGCTTTTGATTTTGTAAATATTTTGGGCGAAATTACTGCTTGTGATCACACTGACTATTGGGATTTATTCTAATTCATATTTAATATTTTATCATAAATGTCATATATTGACACTTTTGCACCCAGAATTACATTCCACGTTGTTGACAGTTGTACTGAGTCACCTGTGTTGCATGTAAAATTGTTGGCGGCACCCCGTAGTAGCGAAGCAGTTGCCAAAACACATCTCAGTCGACGCTGTCGAAGGCCTTTCAAAGTTAATGAAGTTGAGATAGAGAGCTGACTGCTATTCCAAGTTCTGTTCAATCATGATACTTAGTGTTGCGATGTGATCGATGCATGACTTATTCCTCCCTAATCCAGCCTGTCAAGGTCGAATTTTTTCATCCAGGGCTTGTTTGATTCTCTCCAGCATGATAAGGCTTGGTATTTTGCTTGGGATGGACAGGAGCATAATGGCGAGCCATTTCTTGCATTGACCTAAGTCCCCTTTCTTTGGTAGTTTGAATAGGTAGCCTTTCTTTCAATCCGCAGGTACCTTGGTCTCTTTCCACACCTTCTCCAGTAGTGATGTCATCAACTCCGCTGAAGTCTCTCGGTCCATTTCCATTCCATTCGCTGGGATTCCGTCTGGTCCTGGTGATTTTCCAGTTTTCAGCATCTTGATTGCCTTCAGCATTCCTGTTGTCGTCGGAGAGTTGATATCCACTGGTAGTTCTGCCTCTGCTGTTGGTATTATTGGGAGCGTTGTAGGTGGCAGTAGATTTAGAAGTCCTTTGAAGTGTTCAGTCCAGTGTTTCCTTTAGTGCACCTCTTTGATGATTGGCTTTCCATTGTCATCCTTCACTGGCGTAATTCTAGCTTACAGTAATTCGTGATTTTAGCGCGACCACAAACCAATATCATTGGCGTGAACTCAATCCTCACTCTCGACTGGATGAACATCATCATGCTATCTGCCTGTCACATTGTAATCCCGACAACATGATTTTCGTTACTGACAAACTGGAATGGATGAATAACTTTCGAGTCTTCACACAATTAGCTGCTGATTGCATCTCATCATCAATTTCCTCAGTTCTCACGCAAGTAGTCGTTTTGATTTTATGCTCGAAAGCTTCGTGTAGTGTAGTATGTTGACTATGAGACACCAGTTGAGTAGTCCGACTGTAGCCAGATCTTCTATTGAGACATTTAGGAGCCCACCAGTAAGCTCCTGTTTGCAGATTTCCGATATAACAGACATATCGGATTAATGATATTCAGTTTCCTTGAGTAAAATGCTTCTTGTTTAAGGGTTGGAAAGGCTTTCACGAGGATGTAGGAGTGGGTTGTGTTTCCCACTGGTTTGTTGTAATGCACACCGCGAATAACTACGTTTCAACTTTCCAGGTGCACTATTCAGTCTGGGTATTCAAGATTTCGGATGGACGATTTCAGCATGAGCCGACATCAGTTAGAAAACCACTGCAAAACCTGGGAGTAGTGGGGATCTGTTTCCTCCTAGTGTGGGGCTATTCATCAGTACGCATCCACTGAGGTTCATACTCAGGACCTCCTGGTTACAAGGCGAGCTAGCTCGTAGACCAGTGAGCCACTAGGACCCGATCCAATGGCCCATGAATTGAAGATTTCAGTGAAATGTGTATATTCGAACAAGGACACACTGACTGATATTAAGATTCCTGATAAGTGATTCATTTTTCAGGACGCATCATAACAAATATGAAACTAGTGAATATCTGTTTATTCGAAGAAATTAAAGTCTCTACGCTTTTCGAAGTGGAAGATGTCACCTTCATAATGTTAATCTATAAAACTCACAACTTTTACCATACAACCTAAGCGTGAACGTCTCACTTGGAAAATATCTTCCATATGGAATCGGAGGTATGTTAAGATGTTGGCAATGAAATTAAACGAAAAATGGAAACCTAACGTCGACTTCTTTCTCGATATCACACCGATAGCTGAATGCATGTCATTATATAACTCTTTCTAATGCTAACAACTTTGGTACTACCTACCAGAATCATAAAAGTACTATTCGTTTACCCATAAGAAAACTCCATTTCCGACCCCAGACCTATTGAATGAGTTCAAAATTATCCTTTACACAATGCTCAACCAGTTTATTGTGCTACTGTGTTAGAACGTTTAACAACTACTCTACAACTCAGAAGACTGAAAGCGTTGCTATGTTCCGTGGTCAGAATTCCACTTGAATTCGCTTTATTGCTGATATACTTGTAGTCAGTGACCGTAGAGTTCAAAGATTAGGCTGATTGTCTTCTAAGTATAACAATGTGAGAATATTCAGCTGTTCAAGTGATTGTGATCAGCCAGTCAATATATGACTGACTGGACATCAGAACTATCCAGGAATCATTAACTATTCATCTGTACCAGTCATTTCTCTTGTTTTATAGGTATGAGCTACAAACTTCATTTATCTGGGAATTGCTCAGAAGTATCTCTGATTTGAATAATGTTTCACTTCAGTTGGTTGCGTTCTATGAGCGGGATATTGTAGTGATGGAGCTCCTGTTGTCATTCTAGGCATCTTTAGTGCACACTTCAATATGAATTCTCCATCAGCTTACTGTTATCATCTATTATTATTACTTCCTTGTGTTCCGAGTGGAAAATAGGTCTTCAATAGCATATGTCCACTTTCTTCTGTTTTCCGCCATCCTCTTCAGCTGGGTCCACCATTGTCCATAATCTCTCATCTCCTCCTATCACGATCCCCTCCATTCCTCCCTCGCACTGACCATACACTAGTCGCTTCCCGTTGTGACTCCACTCGAACAATGGCCTGCATTGTGCGCGATGTCATTCGACGGCCTTCTCAAGGAATGCGCCATCCATCTCCATTTTTCTCCTTATAATTTTTGAGAAACCGGCTCTTGGTTGGTTTGTCGCCAGAAATTCTCTTTGCTGATTCTTTCTGGCCATTTGATCCTCAGTGTGGAAGCAGTGAATAGGGCAGCTGTTGCCAGAATTCTGCACTGATGTGTTGGAAATCCTTTTCTTCACGTGCGATGTCAGTTTCTGACCCATATAGAAGAACTGAATGACTTCGCATTTATGTTGAAAGTCTGAATCTTTTTCTTTACGCTAGCTGAGTTCAGACGATTTCCAAACTGGTTTCAGGTTGATGAAGGCGTATCTTGCCTTTCCGATTCTGACTTTGACGTCTTCTTCCCTGCGACTGCCTTTAGTTGAAATGATGATGTCCAGCTAGGAAAGTGAAAAAGTAACCTCTTTCAAATTTCCCTCTTTGATGGTGATTGCTACTGGTTTTTGTTGTTGGAGGTGGTGGCAAGGCGAAAAAATGAGTTCCGAAGTCGTGTGATTATAATTGATATGTTGGAAACGCCACTCAGTCGATGGAACTATTCCACTTTGTGATACATCCAACAATCAATTTAGCGTGAGACGACTAACTCAAATAACTAAAAATACGCCAGTTGACAAGGGATGTTCTCAAGAAGTTCACAAACGGAATCCTTATTCCGGGGGAGGGGATCATGTTTACTTCCCCATTCAATTCCCTGGAGTGCTGTGTCTCATTTCGTCATCACATAGCCAACCACTCTTCATTGTTGTGGAAATAACTGCCCCTAGGTAATTCCCAGTATCATCAAGACTGAAATCCTTCATATTATTTCCATCCTCATACGTGCACC